ATTCATGCCTCTGTACGTATAAATCCTGCTGCTCATCATTCTCAGGTATTAGTTATCAGATGAACATGGTTGCTTAGTTTTTGGTAAACTTAAATTACCAGTCTGTTCAAACTTTGTACTATAACTACAAGACGAATGTCACTTAATATTGAAATAACAAGGAATGACACCTCTACATACTGCTTTAAACATCAAAACAACTTGCTCTTTAGATTTTGCACTGCAAATTTCATAACTAGTAATCTTGAACTCAGCACAGTAAATGTTCATCTGTTACAGAAAAATATTTTTGCAGCTCCTGAGATTAAAAGTTATCAGTCCAGCAATCTAACTCAGTGGGAGGTCTCGCTAAAGTGCAGTCAATGTAACCAGCTTAATAAAAGTTACCAGAGGAGATCAGCATTGGTCAAATTGTGCCAGAAGTGTGAAGTCAAGTGGTGTAAGATGCGAAGCTGAGGGATCATTTTTAGCTGGAGGTGAACGGGAGAGAAGACATGGACTCAGAGAAAAAAGCAGTTTTTCAAACAACATGGTAGGTAACATTTCTTCTTTACGCATTTTGGGCAGAGAATACTTGTAGAAATAATAGGCACATAATATGAAAATGTGACATGGAACTTGAAGGTGCAAAATCGTGCTAAATTTGCAGTCAATTTGTTTTGAAATACATGCTGCATCGACCGCCAGCGCGACAAAAAGTCTAAAGGGGAAGGAATTCCCGGGAGGCTATAAATCGTTGTCATGTGCAATTTTGGTATTTATATAATCTGATATGTCCATATCTAAGTATTTTTGGATGTTTTATGGTATGTGCTGCAATTGTAATGATGTTTTAGAGTTCTTGAAGGACCTTGTGAAAACCAGGAAATGGTTCGTTTCTAACAACTGAATCGTACAGATCTACAACTGCTGTGCAAAGATGTATCTATTTTAAAATATTGTGATGGATTTTTAGATCTTTATATGTCCATCTGACATGAAATTCCGCACATATGATCACACCAATACACCTTTTAAACCGGGGTAGGCACTAATCAGTGACAAATGCCAAGACAAAGGTGACATTCTGACAGCCATTTATCTGAGCTAAAAATCACTAGCAAAATAGACTGGCAATCAATTTCCTACTGAGAGAGATTCCCCACAGATCGAGATAGATCATGCAATCCTGCTGGACTGATTACTTTCAAACTGAACACAGCCTAGGGTGTCATTTTGGCATTTAATGCCACCACTATAAGACTGGAACCAAAGTAACTAAAATGCTATCTAGGTTATATGTGTAAACGGGCATTTGGTGATTACCTCCTTCTTTCTGAGACTGTGCTATCAAATAAAGCATAATGCAGGTTTCCTTCATGTCAACTTTGGGGCAGTATGTGCTGCACACCATTCCATCCTGGGCCAGAACGTCAAACTGTCCCATCATTAGTTGATTCGGTATCTTAACCGGGGTATTTTTTATCACCAAGCAGACATCAGGCCATATAGATTTATCTTCATTATTCAACAAATAAAACACAGCCGCCTCGCTCAAACAACTTGGTGATTTTACATTTGCGCATAAATCACTGGTTGCACTGTTTATAAGCTGCAAACAGGCAGCTTTCGCCAGAGGTCTGGTGGTTGATTCGGGGTCTACCACACCGGTACATTTTGAAGACTGTGCTGAAAAGATCTGCGAAAGACATGCTGATTTCGTTTCTTGCAATCCAGTATCTTCTGCTGAGGAAATCCAAAAGAAAAGCGATAAAACGCAACAGAGAAAACGTGTCATCGTTCAGTCAGTGCTTCCGGGTGTGACTAAGTTCCCATTTCCAGAGATTAGATCGATCTACTTTAGATCGACCTAACTCCCTGGGGGTTCACGCTCAATAGCTGTCAGCCGAGCGGACACGAAAGTTAATTACACCCTTACAGCTTGCAGAAGGCGGGACGGACATTTAAGCCGGATTATCTGACAGTAATCTAGTGAGACTCCCCGCGGGGATAGATCGATCTAAAAGCTCTGGAAATACAGCCTAAAATGCGCAATACACTGCAATACAACGCAACACAGCGCAATACACATGATAACACAAGTCCAGTTGCAAGTAAACACAGGAAAGGGTAATCTCAAATAAAATAGGGTGATATAAAAGCAAAATATATAGTAGGCCTACATAGTAATTAATATTGCTGATACAACTTGACAATTTTTTCATTGTTTGGTCAGCTGCCATGGCGGCGAGTAGCTCTTCTTGTCCAGTAATATATCCAAGAAGAGCCACTCGCCAACATGCTGCCAACTGGACAATATAAATGTCTTGCTGATTTGTTAAGTTATATCAACGATATTACTTATATAGTAATATAGGTTGTTTTTATATCACCCTACTTTGCTGGGAATGGTCATTTCTTTTGTGTAATTGCAACTGGATTTGATTTTTGTATCGCACTGTGTTGCGCAGTATTGCGGTGTATTGCGCAATTCAGTCACACCGAGTGCTTCCCGCAGGTAACTCTTGAATTTGACCGATAGATGGTGGGACGGTCATAAAAGTATGGCCAAGATGTCAATGTTATTGCATTCAGTGAATAGTGGAGTGTCAGTCTTCAGTACGGCGCATGCTCAAACTACACGAAAATGGATGCTTGACAGAATATACAAGTTTGGTCAAATACAACGACCGAAAAGTGTAAATCTGCACAAACTTAAAAAATAGCCTACACGGATTCTTCTTTAACGTTAATAGCGCCATCTTTACTCTCATTGCAGAACTGTACGTACCTGCTGGACCGTCAGGTAGTCTCCGTGCACATAGTGTGTTACAGTGGTTGCATAATTTCCGTTAGGCCACTAGCGACTACTTGATATAAAGTAATCCCCACTCCTAAGCAACAACTTTAAAAAATATATACATTTTTTGTTGCTAAGGAGTGGGGATTACTTTATATCAAGTAGCCTAGTCGCTATTTAGATAAAACTAGTAGCACTTGGCGAGGGGAATGGCAAAGTTTTTGCTACAAAAGGCTTATATGCTTCATTGTTAGATTGCAGCTCTTTACCACATCGCGGCTTTACTGGACGTAAAAATTGTTGTTTTAACTTTTAAATAAATTAATTGACTGGTGCATTAACCAATTAATTATGGTGAGAACTTTGCTCATTAATTAGTTGCATAAATAATCATTAATGTTGAGAAAAATTGAATTGATTAATAAATCAATTAATTGATTAAGTCATTGAGATATAATAAACATTAATGAAAAATGAGCTGCCTTAGCGGCCGGAGGTCTGCGCTGTCTGCGTGTTTTTCTCGTTATCTATATTTTGATCAGGACTGCAAAGAGAGAACAGTAATGCTTACGTAAATCTATGCCAGTTTCCCCGTTATCCCCACCCACCCTCCGTACTTTTTCTGAATGGTTAGCCCCTACCCTCACCCCCGGGCCCTTAAAATTTGCATCCTTCGAATGCTGTACAGACCATTCCTCGTTACATTAATTTATACACAAGTTAATTTTATGTAAATGATATCTCATTATTATAAAATCGGTGAAAAAATGTCGTGGAGATAGATTTTTTTGCGTTTTTTCTCTCTTTCTTTCTTTCATTTAAACAAAAGATTTTACATTGATCAATTGTGGTAGTTGAAATCAGTTCTATTGCACAATGGCAATGGATGTGCTCTCAACTACCACAAACAGTAAAAAGTCTGTATATCCTGCATCATAACTACATTTCAGGTTATGTTATTATTGAGTTAATTAATTATAAGATTGGTTGTTCGATTTAATAATTAACTAATTTTTAAATAATAATGAGAAATGAGCTGCCTTGGCGGAGGTTTTCGCTGTTTGAGTGCTTCTGTAGTTAACTAAGTTGTAAAACATACCATCTCTTTCTTTCAGAAATAGGCCATACGCTTCCAAGTCTCACATTACTGACATAAAAACACTGTTGTTTTAGCCAGGAAATTAACTGAATCTCAATAAATCTCGTTATCTACTTTAAATATATTTAAATTCATTTGGAACGACAAAGAAAAAAAAAAACGTAGCCTAAAGTGCGTTGTTGCCAACGAACGAATAAGGTGGAAATTGACAACGAAAATAATGGAATAGGTACAGAAAACGAGAACAGAATTTATTTCATTTTTTAATAAAAAATATTTTAGGTCAGTAATTCCCCCCACCCCTTTCGCCTTAAACGTTTGTCAAACATTTAAATTTAAAAAAAATGGAAACCGCGAATATAACTAATATATAACTAATATCGTTATTTATAGTGTCTGCTTACTATAGAGGATCTTAGCCACTGTCACATGCCACGAGGTGGCGTATTAAGTCACGTGCAGTAGATGTACAGCGTATATACCACTCCTCAAATTACTTGAATACAGATTTAGAACATTTAATAACATGACTCAGTGTGAGTTAAGAAACGGTAACGGTAACACTGCTGGTGGCAAATAACGCTAACAAACATTCAGCAAGCCCAACCGCCCCTTGCTGCGGCCCATCGCGCTTGCTATGCTTAATATTCACAAAATAATAGTCTACCTGATCACGGCTGAGATATATTTCTATACCCTGGAAGCTAGCATGGGGAAGAGGTTATTATTTTTATTATAACTGCTCCACACCTTTTGCAAATCTGTATTGCATTGCATGAGAGAGCCGGGTCTTAGGGTTCACCATGCTGAAACCGTGTATGATGCTCCAAAAATAGCTAGGATGGCAGGTGTACTACTCAGGCAAATCAAACTAGCATAATCTTTTTATATAAAAGTTCACATCCATATTATCTCTCCTCCTCTCCCAGTACTTATTGTCATATTGCTAAAGTTCAAGGGCATCATTGATTTTTTTGTTTTCTAAATGATTAAACATATTTTCAACAATGCTGTACCTGCTATAGGCCCCTATGAATCTGTATTTTAACAGAAAATATGCGATGATTTTGGTTTTTCTGTGCGATGATTTGTTGGTTATTGTCCTTTGTGTGGGTATGTCACCTTCTTGTTTTGAGGGCAAACTTCCTTCTTGTGTCTGTCCAGGTAGGCTGCCACCCCGNCCTTCTATTAAGGCAGAATTAGTTGCAGCACGGGGATAGAAAACCATTACAAGGACTTAATTTTGACTGCGGCTTTGTTCCATTTTCAATTCATAGAATTGTGCTTTGATACCATTCAAGTCTATTTCAGAAAGAAATTCCTTTAGAAAATACATTTATTTTGGTCGTCACAGAACGACTGTTTGAAAATAGATTTTATTCTTATCATTATTATTATTTTGATAAAGCTATAGTCTATACTATATTTCCCATTGCAATAATATCGGTTTGATTTGGTTCTGTTTCGACTTTGCCTTCTAATCTAGTGGCTTGAAATTAAGAACATTTACATTGAACTGAATAGATAAGGGCGTTCCCAACTTTTCCAACTCATATACTTGTGTTTTAGATTGCAGCATTGTACCCTTTCAATCATCGTATTTCTTCTTCTATTCATGTTCTAATGTTATCCTCATGACGTACATAGGAAAGGAGTGTGCGTTAAGCAGGTAGATCTAGTGCTACCCTCGACCTAATTACATGCTATCAAATTGACTTTTCATGGGGGATGGGTGGGGGGGGGGGCATCCGCGTATGCGCCGCCAACCCCTGTATTGCCTCCCACGAGCCATCAACCTGAAATGTTCAACCGGCGTACAACCTATCAGGCCTATGTAGGTTTACTTTGATTTCGTTTATCTTACGATGGAATCTAAAGCAATGCCGAGAGTGTGCTCTTCAGTCCAGTTGTATCTACTATAGTCCAAAGCTCTTAAATCATCCTTTGGGTTCCGAAGCGCTATACTCTCAGCCGACCAGAAAAACGCTAACTTCTGTTTCCCATAAATATTTACATATAACAACGGTGGAATAAGCGGACCACAAATACAAGGCAGCGACAAGGTCCTGGATAGGTACATCTAAGGGCATTACTTCGTTCGTTTCAATAAAAAGTGAAACTCAACTTGAACAATCATTTAATGATGGTAATAATACCAAGGAGTTAGTGCATGGCGTCGTAAGTGTGTATTGGGTGGGGAGGGTGGGCACACATTTCAAATTTTATTGGAGTGCTGTCACAGTTACCAAAGGTTTTTTATATATCACGGCTCGCCCTCCCAACGCTTGAACTTGTGAATTTTATCTCATCCCCCCCCAAGGAGGGGGGGTATTCAGTAGGTCAATCAAAATGTAATGAAATATAAAACAATTAACAAGTCCTTTGATAAATCTAGCTCAGAGATACAAACTACACCATTAGCCTACTTAAGTGATTTTGACACATGAAAGTAAGAAAGGTATATTTCTTAAACGTCTACAAATTTCTTATTGTAAAAAGTACACACGACCTCTGATAACCAAAATTAAGAAAAAACTATAGAAATGTAAGGGCCAGGAACAGGCCAGTCACAAAACGGATGAAATTTCCAATAATGGACTAGCTCAGCCAAAAATATTCCTAGTGTCACATATAACTGTGTCCAATTTGGGCATACAGGTAAGCTGATGCTTGGAAAGTGCTTGCAGCGGTCGACCGTTACTGTTTTGAGAGCCCCAATGGTAAATTTCAAAAGGCGTACTTTTCAATGAAAAATCATTATTATTTCATGTCTTAGTTAATCAACTGTTTGCAAAAAAAGAGATCATAAAAGACGATATATGAACACGCTTTGTTGAGTAAATGATATAGCTATAAATCATTATGAGATCGTATGGAAGGATTACTATATGCTGGTTCAGAGGCCCAGTTCAGAGCCCCACACTTTAGATTTTAAAATAGGCACGGCCGGGGATTGGCTGAACCGTCTTACGTCACTTACGTGCAGCGTACGTATGCGCGTGGCTGGGAACATTATTCGCAGTCGCACACGCCGCACCCATCAAGACAGACTGACCGACGTATTCAACTGGTCTGCAGCACCAGAAAATACAGGTAAGAAATATATCTCCATTTGCTGCCAAGGTATGGGGCTTTCTTGCAGCAATGGACATTACTTTTGATAAGACTTTATGTAAGCTGAAAAATATTTACATATATATATATCATGACGTCTTGCTTCAAAGAAATTAATGGCATCTTTGAGCAATTCATCATTTGTTACCCAAGGATCAGGCCAGCAGTTGAAAGAAAAACAGCATTGCATATCCAGTGTGCGTAGGACATGCGGATAAAAAAACTTTAAATTATCTTAATAGCTGTAACATTCTCAATAGTGCAAATATTTTCTTTTGCAAACACTTCGGAAACATGTTATAAGATCTGAAGTATAAAGTAAAAAGTAAAATTATCAAGTATGCATTTACCTCAATAACGTCAAACCGATAGTGTTAGATAATATATACGAGTGAACCTATAGCCAATTGGTAGCCCAATTTGTAAGTATTGAATGTTTTACGGGATTCCCTATGGTTTTCTTTATGTTAAGCTCCTACCGACCAAATATTTAAACTTAAATGCATCTGAAAATGTCCTTATAAGATTTATCGTAACTTTTTGAGAATTGTTTCATTGCAAGAATTTTGATTGTCCAAATCCGATCAATTTCTTTCTGTTAATTTACGTTTGAAGTATACTAATCATCATCTTTTTGAGTTTTAATATTATCATTATTATTATTATTATTCCGGTGTCATATCAAAATAGAGCCACATAACAAACCGCGAGAAATAATAAGCACACGCTGTGTTGATGATCCGCTTGTNTCTTCTATTAAGGCAGAATTAATTGCAGCACGGGGATAGAAAACCATTACAAGGACTTAATTTCGACTGCGGCTTTGTTCCATTTTCAATTCATAGAATTGTGCTTTGATACCATTCAAGTCTATCTCAGAAAGAAATTCCTTTAGAAAATACATTTATTTTGGTCGTCACAGAACGACTCTTTGAAAATAGATTTTATTCTTATCATTATTATTATTTTGATAAATCTATAGTCTATACTATATCTCCCATTGTAATAATATCGGTTTGATTTGGTTCTGTTTCGACTTTGCCTTCTAATCTACTGGCTTGAAATTAAGAACATTTACATTGAACTGAATAGATAAGGGCGTTCCCAACTTTTCCAACTCATATACTTGTGTTTTAGATTGCAGCATTGTACCCTTTCAATCATCGTATTTCTTCTTCTATTCATGTTCTAATGTTATCCTCATGACGTACATAGGAAAGGAGTGTGCGTTAAGCAGGTAGATCTAGTGCTAGCCTCGACCTAATTACATGCTATCAAACTGACTTTTCATGGGGGATGGATAGGGGGGGCATCCGCGTATTCGCCGTCAAAACCTGTATCGCCTCCCACGAGCCATCAACCTAAAATGTTCAACCGGCGTACAACCTATCAGGTCTATGTAGGTTTACTTTGATTTCGTTTATCTTACGATGGAATCTAAAGCAATGCCGAGAGTGTGCTCTTCAGTCCAGTTGTATCTACTATAGTCCAAAGCTCTTAAATCATCCTTTGGATTCCGAAGCGCTATACTCTCAGCCGACCAGAAAAACGCTAACTTCTGTTTCCCATAAATATTTACATATAACAACGGTGGAATAAGCGGACCACAAATACAAGGCAGCGACAAGGTCCTGGATAGGTACATCTAGGGGCATAACATCGTTCGTTTCAATAAAAAGTGAAACTCAACTTGAACAATCTTTTAATGATGGTAATAATACCAAGGAGTTAGTGCATGGCGTCGTAAGTGTGTATTGGGTGGGGAGGGTGGGCTCACATTTCAAATTTTTTTAGAGTGCTGTTACAGTTACCAAAGGTTTTTTATATGTCACGGCTCGCCCTCCCAACGCTTGAACTTGTGAATTCTTCTCAACCCCCCCCCCCCAAGGGGGGGTATTCAGTAGGTCAATCAAAATGTAATGAAATATAAAACAATTAACAAGTTCTTTGATAAATCTAGCTCAGAGATACAAACTACACCATTAGCTTACTTAAGTGATTTTGACACATGAAAGTAAGAAAGGTATATTTCTTTAGCGTCTACAAATTTCTTATTGTAAAAAGTACACACGACCTCTGATAACCAAAATTAAGAAAAAACTATAGAAATGTAAGGGCCAGGAACAGGCCAGTCACAAAACGGATGAAATTTCCAATAATGGACTAGCTCAGCCAAAAATATTCCTAGTGTCACATATAACTGTGTCCAATTTGGGCATACAGGTAAGCTGATGCTTGGAAAGTGCTTGCAGCGGTCGACCGTTACTGTTTTGAGAGCCCCAATGGTAAATTTCAAAAGGCGTACTTTTCAATGAAAAATCATTAATATTTCATGTCTTAGTTAATCAACTGTTTGCAAAAAAGGAGATCACAAAAGACGATATATGAACACGTTTTGTTGAGTAAATGATATAGCTATAAATCATTATGAGATCGTATGGAAGGATTACTATATGCTGGTTCAGAGGCCCAGTTCAGAGCCCCACACTTTAGATTTTAAAATAGGCACGGCCGGGGATTGGTTGAACCGTCTTACGTCACTTACGTGCAGCGTACGTATGCGCGTGGCTGGGAACATTATTCGCAGTCGCACACGCCGCACCCATCAAGACAGACTGACCGACGTATTCAACTGGTCTGCAGCACCAGAAAATACAGGTAAGAAATATATCTCCATTTGCTGCCAAGGTATGGGGCTTTCTTGCAGCAATGGACATTACTTTTGATAAGACTTTATGTAAGCTGAAAAATATTTACATATATATCATGACGTCTTGCTTCAAAGAAATTAATGGCATCTTTGAGCAATTCATCATTTGTTACCCAAGGATCAGGCCAGTAGTTGAAAGAAAAACAGCATTGCATATCCAGTGTGCGTAGGACATGCGGATAAAAAAACTTTAAATTATCTTAATAGCTGTAACATTCTCAATAGTGCAAATATTTTCTTTTGCAAACACTTCGGAAACATGTTATCAGATCTGAAGTATAAAGTAAAAAGTAAAATTATCAAGTATGCATTTACCTCAATAACGTCAAACCGATAGTGTTAATATATACGAGTGAACCTATGGCCAATTGGTAGCCCAATTTGTAAGTATTGAATGTTTTACTGGATTCCCTATGGTTTTCTTTATGTTAAGCTCCTACCGTCCAAATATTTCAACTTTAATGCATCTCAAAATGTCCTTATAAGATTTATAAAAATCGCAACTTTTTGAGAATTGTTTCATTGCAAGAATTTTGATTGTCCAAATCCAATCAATTTCTTTCTGTTAATTTACGTTTGTAGTATACTAATCATCATCTTTTTGAGTTTTAATATTATTATTATTATTATTATTATTATTATTCCGGTGTCATATCAAAATAGAGCCACATAACAAACCGCGAGAAATAATAAGCACACGCTGTGTTGATGATCCGCTGGTAGATTTGTTTAAATATTTAACGTTAGGGACGACCAAAACCGATTTATTTATTTTAATAGTTCCATTTCCATAATATACGAGAGAATAACCTGGGCTTGATTCAAAGTTTTACCTGTTCAGTTGTTCAATCACCGGGGTATGCATTTCGAAATCAAAGGCTAGCTTACAGCAGTTGTAATTGAATAGCATTTCGTCTTTCTGAAGAACACGTTCGCTCGGGATCCGGTTTCGGTAAAAACACCGGGGGAATTTCGAATCATTTCTGTTAACGTAGCTGTGTCTGCATATGTAATCCCTGCTGATACAAATCAGGCCATGTCTTGTCAAGTAGTGATTATTGACCATTTATGCCCCCGACACAAAATCTACACAAAATTACTTCCGTGGACTGGCATTCATACAAAACTTTGATTAATCCATAAACGTAACCCAAATGATTACCGGAACAGCAACTTGCTAACAACACCGCCCAGCCGTGTAAGCGCACCTGTCCTTCTGATTAATAATAAATAATCCGCCGGCTCATATACTACTGGTGACCACAAATAGAAATACACAAGAAATTCCTAAATCATTCTCTGGAGATGCACTCAATTGTACATCCGTACCAACTAGAGGGTTTTGCAGGTGTTCGCTGAAAGGGAACACCTTATTCACCTAAGTAAAGACGCTGAAGATGGACCGCACCTGACTATATATTGATAATTTTCACACCCTTCGTAACGCTACATGCCACGGGATCACGTCACATGGAATGAATGTGCAATCAGCTTGTTTGATTTATTC